ACCCCCCCATCACCCCCATCCCCCCCTATCTCCCCCTTTATACCCATCCCCCCTCCCCCCATCTCCCCCTTTGTACCCCCCATCCCCACCCCCCCTCCCCCAGTTCCGTTCCAGGAGAGCCCCCAATTCACCTCCCGCCGCCGCGACCCCCCCCGTGGCCTCCCCCCTCCCCCCAGCGCCTCCTCCGAGCCAACAGCGACTCGGGAGGGGGGGGAGGGGCCGGGCTCCCTCCGGGGGGGGGCGGGGGGGGGATGCTTCCCGATTGGATGCTCCGGGGACATCCCCCCCCCGCCCCCAGGCCACCCCCGGGGCCCCTCCCCCCCCTTCCTCTGTGCCCCGCCCCCCCCCGCCCCCCGGCCCCCCCTCGGGGACCCTGCGCAGCGCCAGCAGCCCCGGGGGGCCCGGACCCGCTCCCCCTCCCGTGGGAGGCACGCGGAGGAGCCCCGGAGGGCGAGGGGAAGGGCCAGGTATGGGGGGGGATGTGGGGTTATGGGGGGGGTATGGGGGGGGGTGGAGTGTGGGGTGTGGGTGTGGGGTTATGGGGGGGTGGGGGGTGGGGTATGGGGGTGGGGGGGGGGATGTGGGGTGTGGGTGTGGGGTTATGTGGGGTTATATGTGGGGTGTGTGGGGGGGATGTGTGGGGGGGGGGGTGGGGGGTGGGGTATGGGGGGGAGATGTGGGGTTATGTGGGCTTATGGGGGGTGGGGTATGGGGTTATGTGGGGGTGTGGGGTGTGGGGTTATGGGGTGGGGTATGGGGGGGGATGTGGGGTTATGGGGGGGGGTGGGGGGTGGGGTATGGGTGGGAGGGGGGATGTGGGGTGTGGGTGTGGGGTTATGGGGTGTGGGGTATGGGGTGTGGGGTATGGGGGAGGGATGTGGGGTTATGGGATGGGGGGGGGGTGGGGGTGTGGGTGTGGGGGTGGGGTTATGGGGGGGGTGGGGGGTGGGAGATGGGGGGGATATGGGGTTATGTGGGGGGTGGGGGTATGGGGTGGGGTTATGCGGGGTTATGGGGTGTGGGTGTGGGGGTGGGGTTATGTGGGGGTGGGGTGTGGGGGGGGATGTGGGGTTATGGGGGGGTGGGGGGTGGGGTATGGGTGTGGGGGGGGGGGATGTGGGGTGTGGGTGTGGGGTTATGGGGTGTGGGGTATGGGGGGGGATGTGGTGTTATGGGGGGGTGGGGGGTGGGGTATGGGTGTGGGGGGGGATGTGGGGTGTGGGTGTGGGGTTATGTGGGGTTATGGGGTGTGGGGTGTGTGGGGGGGATGTGGGGTTATGGGGGGGGTGGGGGGTGGGGTATGGGGGGGAGATGTGGGGTTATGTGGGCTTATGGGGTGTGGGGTGTGGGGTTATTATGGGGCATGTGGTGTGGGGTATGGGGTTATGGGGTGTGGGGTATGGGGGGGGGATGTGGGGTTATGGGGGGGGTGGGGGGTGGGGTATGGGTGTGGGGGGGGGATGTGGGGTGTGGGTGTGGGGTTATGTGGGGTTATGGGGTGTGGGGTGTGTGGGGGGGATGTGGGGTTATGGGGGGGGTGGGGGGTGGGGTATGGGGGGGAGGTGTGGGGTTATGTGGGGTTATGGGGTGTGGGGTTATGTGGGGTGTGGGGTGGGGGGGGTGGGGTTATGTGGGGTGTGGGGTATGGGGGGGGATGTGGGGTTATGGGGGGGTGGGGGGTGGGGTATGGGCGTGGGGGGGGGGATGTGGGGTGTGGGTGTGGGGTTATGGGGTATGGGGTATGGGGTGTGGGGTATGGGGGGGGGATGTGGGATGTGGGGGGTGGGGGTGGGGTGTGGGGGGTGGGGGGTGTGGGGGTTGAGGTGTGGGGGGTGGGGTGTGGGGTGTGGGGCATGGGGGGGGGGATGTGGGTTCTCTCCATGGTGCTGACCCCATTGACGGGCTCCATCCATGGTCTCTCTCCATGGGTCCTGACCCCATTGACGGGCTCTCTCCATGGTGCTGACCCCATTGATGGGCTCCATCCATGGGTCCTGACCCCATTGACGGGCTCCATCCATGGTCCTGACCCCATTGACGGGCTCCATCCATGGTGCTGACCCCACTGATGGTCTCTGTCCATGGTGCTGACCCCATTGACGGGCTCCATCCATGGTGCTGACCCCATTGACGGGCTCCACCCATGGTCTCTCTCCATGGTGCTGACCCCATTGACGGGCTCCATCCATGGTCTCTCTCCATGGTGCTGACCCCATTGACGGGCTCCATCCATGGTCTCTCTCCATGGTGCTGACCCCACTGATGGTCTCTCTCCATGGGTCCTGACCCCATTGACGGGCTCTCTCCATGGTGCTGAACCCATTGACGGGCTCCATCCATGGTCTCTCTCCATGGTGCTGACCCCATTGACGGGCTCCATCCATGGTCTCTCTCCATTGTGCTGAACCCATTGACGGGCTCCATCCATGGTCTCTCTCCATGGGTCCTGACCCCATTGACGGGCTCCATCCATGGGTCCTGACCCCATTGACGGGCTCCATCCATGGTCTCTCTCCATGGTGCTGACCCCATTGACGGGCTCCACCCATGGTCTCTCTCCATGGTGCTGACCCCATTGACGGGCTCTCTTCATGGGTCCTGACCCCATTGACGGGCTCCATCCATGGTCTCTCTCCATGGTGCTGAACCCATTGACGGGCTCCATCCATGGTCTCTCTCCATGGGTCCTGACCCCATTGACGGGCTCCATCCATGGGTCCTGACCCCATTGACGGGCTCCATCCATGGTCTCTCTCCATGGTGCTGAACCCATTGACGGGCTCCATCCATGGTCTCTCTCCATGGTGCTGACCCCATTGACGGGCTCCATCCATGGTCTCTCTCCATGGTGCTGATCCCATTGACGGGCTCCATCCATGGGTCCTGACCCCATTGACAGGCTCCATCCATGGTGCTGCCCCATTGACGGGCTCCACCCATGGTCTCTCTCCATGGTGCTGACCCCACTGATGGTCTCTCTCCATGGTGCTGACCCCATTGACGGGCTCTCTCCATGGTGCTGACCTCATTGACGGGCTCCATCCATGGTCTCTCTCCATGGTGCTGAACCCATTGACGGGCTCTCTCCATGGTGCTGAACCCATTGACGGGCTCCATCCATGGTGCTGACCCCGTTGACGGGCTCCATCCATGTTCTCTCTCCATGGTGCTGACCCCATTGACGGGCTCCATCCATGGTGCTGACCCCATTGACGGGCTCCATCCATGGTCTCTCTCCATGGTGCTGACCCCATTGACGGGCTCCATCCATGGTCTCTCTCCATGGTGCTGACCCCATTGACGGGCTCCATCCATGGGTCCTGACCCCTCTCCCTCCAGCGCCGCCCCAGCCGCCGGGGGGTCCCTGGGGGGCCGTGGGGGTCGCCGCCGCCTCTACTCGGCCGTGCCGGGCCGCTCCTTCCTGGCCGTGAAGCCCTACCAGGCCCAGGGCGAGGGCGAGCTCAGCCTCAGCAAGGGCGAGCGCATCAAGGGTGCGTCCGGGGCCCCCCTTTGGGTGCCCCCAGTGCATGGGTGCCCCCATTGGGGGTGGTGTGGGTGCGGGTTTGGGTGCCCCCAGTGCATGGGTGCCCCCATTGGGGGTGGTGTGGGTGCGGGTTTGGGTGCCCCCATTGCATGGGTGCCCCCTTTGGGGTCGGTTTGGGTGTTGGTTTGGGTGCCCCCATTGCATGGGTCCCTCCATTGGGGTTGGTTTGGGTGCCCCCATTGGGGTTGGTTTGGGTGTTCGTTTGGGTGCCCCCATTGCATGGGTGCCCCCATTGGGGTTGGTTTGGGTGTTGGTTTGGGTGCCCCCATTGCATGGGTGCCCCCATAGGGGTTGGTTTGGGTGCCCCCATTGCATGGGTGCCCCCATTGCTGTTGGTTTGGGTGTTGGTTTGGGTGCCCCCATTGCATGGGTGCCCCCATTGGGGTTGGTTTGGGTGCGGGTTTGGGTGCCCCCATTGCATGGGTGCCCCCTTTGGGGTTGGTGTGGGTGCGGGTTTGGGTGCCCCCATTGCATGGGTGCCCCCATTGGGGTTGGTGTGGGTGTTCGTTTGGGTGCCCCCATTGCATGGGTGCCCCCATTTGGGTTGGTTTGGGTGCCCCCATTGCATGGGTCCCTCCATTGGGGGTGGTTTGGGTGCGGGTTTGGGTGCCCCCATTGCATGGGTGCCCCCATTGGGGTTGGTTTGGGTGCCCCCATTGCATGGGTGCCCCCATTGGGGTTGGTTTGGGTGCCCCCATTGCATGGGTGCCCCCATTGCTGTTGGTTTGGGTGCCCCCGTTGCATGGGTGCCTCCATTGGGGTTGGTTTGGGTGCCCCCATTGCATGGGTGCCCCCATAGGGGTTGGTTTGGGTGCCCCCATTGCATGGGTGCCCCCATTGCTGTTGGTTTGGGTGTTGGTTTGGGTGCCCCCATTGCATGGGTGCCCCCATTGGGGTTGGTTTGGGTGCGGGTTTGGGTGCCCCCATTGCATGGGTGCCCCCATTTGGGTTGGTTTGGGTGCCCCCATTGCATGGGTGCCCCCATTGGGGTTGGTTTGGGTGCCCCCATTGCATGGGTGCCCCCATTGCTGTTGGTTTGGGTGCCCCCGTTGCATGGGTGTCCCCATTGCATTGCATGGGTGCCTCCATTGGGGTTGGTTTGGGTGCCCCCATTGCATGGGTGCCCCCATTGGGGTTGGTTTGGGTGCGGGTTTGGGTGCCCCCAGTGCATGGGTGCCCCCTTTGGGGTTGGTGTGGGTGTTCGTTTGGGTGCCCCCAGTGCATGGGTGCCCCCTTTGGGGTTGGTTTGGGGGTTGGTTTGGGTGCCCCCAGTGCATGGGTGCCCCCTTTGGGGTTGGTGTGGGTGCAGGTTTGGGTGCCCCCATTGGGGGTTGATTTGGGTGCTACCATTGCTGTTGGTGTGGGTGTTCGTTTGGGTGCCCCCATTACATGGGTCCCTCCATTGGGGTTGGTTTGGGTGCTCCCATTGCATGGGTCCCTCAATTGGGGTTGGTTTGGGGGTTGGTTTGGGTGCCCCCAGTGCATGGGTGCCCCCATTGGGGTTGGTTTGGGTGCCCCATTGCATGGGTCCCTCCATTGGGGTTGGTTTGGGTGTGGGTTTGGGTGCCCCCATTGCTGTTGGTTTGGGTGTTCGTTTGGGTGCCCCCATTGCATGGGTGCCCCCATTGGGGTTGGTTTGGGTCACCTTTGGGTGCGGGTTTGGGTACTCCTATTGCATGGGTCATTCTATGGGTCATGCTATGGGTCATGCTATAGATCAGTCTATGGGTCATTCTATGAGTCATTCTATGGGTCACAGTATGGGTCACACTATGGGTCATGCTATGGGTCACGCTATGGGTCATGATATGGGTCACGCTATGGGTTCTGCTATGGGTCATTCTATTGGTCACGCTATGGGTCATTCTATGGGTCATGCTATAGGTCAGTTTCTGGGTCATTTTATGGGTCATGCTATGGGTCACGCTATGGGTCATGCTATAGGTCAGTCTATGGGTCAGTTTATGGGTCATTCTATGGGTCATGCTATGAGTCACACTATGGGTCACACTATGGGTCATGCTATGGGTCATGCTATAGGTCAGTTTGTGTGTCATTCTATGGGTCCTGCTATGGGTCACGCTATGGGTCACGCTATGGGTCATGCTATGGGTTGTGCTATGGGTCATTCTATTGGTCACGCTATAGGTCATGCTAGGGGTCATGCTATAGGTCAGTTTATGTGTCATTCTGTGTGTCATTCTATGGGTCACGCTATGTGTCATGCTATGGGTCACGCTATGGGTCACACTATGGGTCATGCTAGGGGTCATGCTATAGGTCAGTTTATGTGTCATTCTGTGTCATTCTATGGGTCATGCTATGGGTCATGCTATGGGTCACGCTATGGGTCACACTATGGGTCATGCTAGGGGTCATGCTATAGGTCAGTTTATGTGTCATTCTGTGTGTCATTCTATGGGTCATGCTATGGGTCATGCTATGGGTCACGCTATGGGTCACACTATGGGTCATGCTAGGGGTCATGCTATAGGTCAGTTTATGTGTCATTCTGTGTGTCATTCTATGGGTCACGCTATGTGTCATGCTGTGGGTCATGCTATGGGTCGTGCTGTGGGTCATTCTATTGGTCACGCTATAGGTCATGCTAGGGGTCATGCTATGGGTCACGCTATGGGTCACTCTATGGGTCATGCTCTAGGTCAGTTTATGTGTCATTCTGTGTGTCATTCTATGGGTCATGCTATGGGTCACGCTGTGGGTCATGCTATGGGTCGTGCTATGGGTCATTCTATTGGTCACGCTATGGGTCACGCTATGGGTCACGCTATGGGTCATGCTATGGGTCATTCTGTGTGTCATTCTATTGGTCACGCTATGGGTCATGCTATGGGTCACGCTATGGGTCATGCTATGGGTCACGCTATGGGTCACGCTATGGGTCACGCTATGGGTCATGCTATGGCTCACGCTATGGGTCACGCTATGGGTCACGCTATGAGTCATGCTATGGGTCACGCTATGGGTCACTCTATGAGTCACGCTATGGGTCATGCTATGGGTCGTGCTGTGGGTCATTCTATTGGTCACGCTATGGGTCATTCTATGGGTCACTCTATGGGTCAATCTATGGGTCACGCTATGGGTCATTCTATGGGTCACGCTATGTGTCATGCTATGGGTCACGCTATGGGTCACGCTATGGGTCACGCTATGGGTCATGCTATGAGTCATGCTATAGGTCACGCTATGGGTCATTCTATGGGTCACGCTATGGGTCACGCTATGCGTCACTCTATTGGTCACGCTATGGGTCATGCTATGGGTCACGCTATGGGTCACTCTATGAGTCACGCTATGGGTCATGCTATGGGTCACGCTATGGGTCACTCTATGAGTCACGCTATGGGTCATGCTATGGGTCGTGCTGTGGGTCATTCTATTGGTCACGCTATGGGTCATTCTATGGGTCACTCTATGGGTCACGCCATGGGTCACGCTATGGGTCACTCTATGGGTCAATCTATGGGTCAGCCCCCCCTAACCCCATCTCCCCCCCCCATAGTGCTGAGTGTGGGTGAAGGGGGGTTCTGGGAGGGCCAAGCCCGCGGCCGCATCGGTTGGTTCCCATCGGAGTGCGTGGAGGAGGTTCCAGCCCGGACCCCCGAGGGCAAGACAGGTACCCCCCCCCTGCCCCACACCTGCCCCATAAGTGGGACCCCCAACCCTGACCCCCAAGTGGGACCCACAGCCCTTGAGAGGGGGTTAACCTAATGGGCTCCATCAAAGAGGAGGTTTAAATGGGACCCATAAGTGGGGGGAGCCCCTCAGGATGACCCCCAACCTGCCCCATAAGTGGGACCTACAAGCCTGACCCCCAAGTGGGACCATAGCCCTTGGGGGGGTTTGGTCAACCCAATGGGCTCCATCAAAGAGGAGGCTTAAATGGGACCCATAAGTGGGGGGATCCCCTCAGGATGACCCCCAACCTGCCCCATAAGTGGGACCCCCAACCCTGACCCCCAAGTGGGACCCACAGCCCTCTGGGGGGAGATCAACCCAGTGGTCTCCATCAAAGAGGAGGCTTAAATGGGACCCATAAGTGGGGGGAGCCCCTCAAGATGACCCCCAACCTGCCCCATAAGTGGGACCCCCAACCCTGACCCCCAAGTGGGACCATAGCCCTTGGGGGGGTTTGGTCAACCCAATGGGCTCCATCAAAGAGGAGGTTTAAATGGGACCCATAAGTGGGGGGAGCCCCTCAGGATGACCCCCAACCTGCCCCTTAAGTGGGACCTACAACCCTGACCCCCAAGTGGGACCCACAGCCCATGCGAGGGGGTTAACCTAATGGGTTCCATCAAAGAGGAGGTTTAAATGGGACCCATAAGTGGGGGGAGCCCCTCAGGATGACCCCCAACCTGCCCCATAAGTGGGACCCCCAACCCTGACCCCCAAGTGGGACCCATAGACCTTGCGAGGGGGTTAACCTAATGGGCTCCATCAAAGAGGAGGTTTAAATGGGACCCATAAGTGGGGGGAGCCCCTCAAGATGACCCCCAACCTGCCCCATAAGTGGGACCCCCAACCCTGACCCCCAAGTGGGACCCACATCACTGGGGTCCCCAACTGCATCCCTTCAATGGGACCCCCAAGTGGCCCTCAATGGGACCCCCAAGTGGTACCCATGGGGAGGACCCCAACCGCATCCCTTCAATGGGACCCCCAAGTGGTACCCATGGGGAGGACCCCAACCGCATCCCTTCAATGGGACCCCCAAGTGGGACCCACATCACTGGGGGACCCCAACCGCATCCCTTCAATGGGACCCCCAAGTGGTACCCATGGGGAGGACCCCAACCGCATCCCTTCAATGGGACCCCCAAGTGGCCCCTCAATGTGACCCCCAAGTGGGACCCACATCATTAGGGGGTGGGGGGGGTCCCAGCCCCATAGAGGGCCCCCCCCGACCCCCATGTGCCCCACATGTGCCCCAGAGAGCCGCAGTGACAAGGCCAAGCGCCTCTTCCGCCATTACACCGTTGGCTCCTATGACAGCTTCGATGCCCCCAGGTGAGACCCCAAACCCACCCCATAACCCCCCCATATCCCCCCTATGGCGCCCCCTTTGTGCCCCCCCCAAAACCCCCAAAATCCCATGAAATCCACCCAAAATTGACCCCGAATTGCGCAAATTCCGCTCAAAAATCGCACCGAATCCGCGGAATTCTCCCAAATTCCCCCCAATTCTCCCAAATTCCCCCAAACGGGTCTGAATTTCTGCCCAAATTGTCAAAAAATTTTCCCAAATTCCCCCAAATCCTTGCCAAAATCCCTCAATTCTCCCCAAAGTCTTCCAAATTCCATTCAAATTCCTCCCAAATCCTTCAATTTTCCCCTGAATCCCTCCCAAATTCCAAATTCCTAAAAATTCCAAATTTTCCCCTAAATCCCTTCAAATTCTGCCAAATTCCTCCAAAATACCCCAAATTCCTCCCAAATCCCCCCAAATTCCACTCAAATCCCTTCAAATTCCCAAATTTTCCCCTAAATCCCTTCAAATTCCCCAAATTCCTCCAAAATCCCCCAAATTCCTCCAAAATCCCCCCAAATTTTTCCCCAAATCCCTTCAAATTCCAAATTTGCCCCCTAAATTCCTCCCAAATCCCCCCAAATTCCTCCAAAATCCCCCAAATTCCTCCAACCCCCCCCCAAATTACACTGAAATCCCCCCAATTCCTCCCAAATTCTGCCAAATTCCACTCAAGTTCCCCCAAATCCCTTCAAATTCCTATTTTTTCCCAAAAAAATCCCTTCCAATTCACCCCAAATTGCACTCAAATTCATCCTAAATTCCTCCAAAATCCCTCCAAATTCCACCCAAATCCAAAAATTTTTCCCTAAATCCCTTAAAACTCCCCCCAAATCCCCCAAATTCCTCCAAATCCTTCTAAAATCCCCCCCAATTTCACTCAAATCCCCCCCAATCCTTTCAAATTCCAAATTTGCCCCTAAATTCCTCCAAATTTCCCCCAAATTCCTCCAAAATCCCCCCAAATTTCACTCAAATTCCCCCCAAATCCCTTCAAATTCCAAATTTGCCCCTAAATTCCTCCAAATTTCCCCCAAATTCCTCCAAAATCCCCCAAATTCCACTCAAATTCCCCCCAAATCCCTTCAAATTCCAAATTTGCCCCTAAACTCCTCCAAAATCCCCCAAATTCCTCCAAAATCCCCCAAATTCCACTCAAATTCCCCCCCAATCCCTTCAAATTCCAAATTTGCCCCCCAAAATCCCCCAAAATCCTCCAAAATTCCCCCAAAATTCACTCAAATTCCCCCCAAATCCCTTCAAATTCCAAATTTGCCCCCCAAAATCCCCCAAATTTCCCCCAAATTCCTCCAAAATCCCCCAAATTCCACTCAAATTCCCCCCCAATCCCTTCAAATTCCAAATTTGCCCCCCAAAATCCCCCAAAATCCTCCAAAATTCCCCCAAAATTCACTCAAATTCCCCCCAAATCCCTTCAAATTCCAAATTTGCCCCCCAAAATCCCCCAAATTTCCCCCAAATTCCTCCAAAATCCCCCAAATTCCACTCAAATTCCCCAATTTTCCCCAAATCCCCCCCCAATTCCTCCCAAATTTCCCCCCGTTCCTCTCAAACCCCTCCCCCCACCCCCATCCCTCCCCCCACCCCCCCCCCCGGGGCCTGACCCGGTTCCCGCCGTCCTTGCACGCGCGTGTCCCGGCGCGGCCCCCGCCCCTCCCCCACCCCCCCTCCCCCACCCCCCCCTTCCCCCCGCCCCTCCCCCACCCCCGTCCCACTTCCTGGCTTCGGGGCCCGGCGGCGGTTGTGGGGCGCTGGGGGGGGCCCTATGGGTGCTATGGGGCTGGAGGACCTCGGGTGAGTTGTGGAGCTGGGGGCTATGGGGCAGTTGTGGGGCTTGGAGCATCTATGGGGCAGTTGTGGGGCTTGGAGCATCTATGGGGCAGTTATGTGGCTCGGAGCATCTATGGGGCAGTTGTGGGGCTTGGAGCATCTATGGGGCAGTTATGTGGCTTGGAGCATCTATGGGGCAGTTGTGGGGCTCGGAGCATCTATGGGGCAGTTGTGGGGCTTGGAGCATCTATGGGGCAGTTGCTTGTGTGGCAGTTGTGGGGCTGGAGGATCTGGAGTGAGTTGTGGGGCTGAGGGCCTATGGGGCAGTTGTGGGGCTTGGAGCATCTATGGGGCAGTTGTGGGGCTCGGAGCATCTATGGGGCAGTTGCTTGTGGGGCTGGAGGATCTGGAGTGAGTTGTGGGGCCTATGGGGCAGTTGGGCATCTATGGGGCAGTTGTGGGGCTTGGAGCATCTATGGGGCAGTTGTGGGGCTCGGAGCATCTATGGGGCAGTTGTGGGGCTCGGAGCATCTATGGGGCAGTTGTGGGGCTCGGAGCATCTATGGGGCAGTTGTGGGGCTTGCAGCATCTATGGGGCAGTTGCTTGTGGGGCAGTTGTGGGGCTGGAGGATCTGGAGTGAGTTGTGGGGCTGAGGGCCTATGGGGCAGTTGGGCATCTATGGGGCACTTCTGTGGCTTGAAGCATCTATGGGGCAGTTGTGGGGCTGGGGTCTATGGGGCCTTTGGGCATCTATGGGGCAGTTATGTGGCTCGGAGCATCTCTGGGGCAGTTGTGGGGCTCGGAGCATCTATGGGGCAGTTGTGGGGCTTGCAGCATCTATGGGGCAGTTGCTTGTGTGGCAGTTGTGGGGCTGGAGGATCTGGAGTGAGTTGTGGGGCTGAGGGCCTATGGGGCAGTTGTGGGGCTTGGAGCATCTATGGGGCAGTTGTGGGGCTTGGAGCATCTATGGGGCAGTTGTGTGGCAGTTGTGGGGCTGAGGGCCTATGGGGCAGTTGTGGCGCTTGGAGCATCTATGGGGCAGTTGTGGGGCTTGGAGCATCTATGGGGCAGTTGTGTGGCAGTTGTGGGGCTGAGGGCCTATGGGGCAGTTGTGGGGCTCGGAGCATCTATGGGGCAGTTGTGGGGCTTGGAGCATCTATGGGGCAGTTGCTTGTGTGGCAGTTGTGGGGCTGAGGGCCTATGGGGCAGTTGTGGGGCTCGGAGCATCTATGGGGCAGTTGTGGGGCTTGGAACATCTATGGGGCAGTTGTGGGGCTCGGAGCATCTATGGGGCAGTTGCTTGTGGGGCAGTTGTGGGGCTGGAGGATCTGGAGTGAGTTGTGGGGCTGAGGGCCTATGGGGCAGTTGTGGGGCTGAGGGCCTATGGGGCAGTTGTGGGGCTTGGAGCATCTATGGGGCAGTTGTGGGGCTGGGGGCTATGGGGCAGTTGTGGGGCTTGGAGCATCTATGGGGCAGTTGCTTGTGTGGCAGTTGTGGGGCTTGGAACATCTATGGGGCAGTTGCTTGTGTGGCAGTTGTGGGGCTGAGGGCCTATGGGGCAGTTGTGGGGCTTGGAGCATCTATGGGGCAGTTATGTGGCTTGGAACATCTATGGGGCAGTTGTGGGGCTCGGAGCATCTATGGGGCAGTTGTGGGGCTCGGAGCATCTATGGGGCAGTTGTGGGGCTCGGAGCATCTATGGGGCAGTTGCTTGTGTGGCAGTTGTGGGGCTGAGGGCCTATGGGGCAGTTGTGGGGCTTGGAGCATCTATGGGGCAGTTGTGGGGCTTGGAGCATCTATGGGGCAGTTGCTTGTGTGGCAGTTGTGGGGCTGAGGGCCTATGGGGCAGTTGTGGGGCTTGGAGCATCTATGGGGCAGTTGTGGGGCTGGGGGCTATGGGGCAGTTGTGGGGCTCGGAACATCTATGGGGCAGTTGTGGGGCTTGGAACATCTATGGGGCAGTTGTGGGGCTTGGAGCATCTATGGGGCAGTTGTGGGACTCGGAGCATCTATGGGGCAGTTGGGCCGTTGTCTATGGGGCAGTTGTGGGGCTTGGAGCATCTATGGGGCAGTTGATTGTGTGGCAGTTGTGGGGCTGGAGGATCTGGGGTGAGTTGTGGGGCTGAGGGCCTATGGGGCAGTTGTGGGGCTTGGAGCATCTATGGGGCAGTTGTGGGGCTCGGAGCATCTATGGGGCAGTTGTGGGGCTCGGAGCATCTATGGGGCAGTTGCTTGTGTGGCAGTTGTGGGGCTGGAGGACCTGGGGTGAGTTGTGGGGCTGAGGGCCTATGGGGCAGTTGGGCATCTGTGGGGCAGTTATGTGGCTTGGAGCATCTCTGGGGCAGTTGTGGGGCTGGGGGCTATGGGGCAGTTGGACATCTATGGGGCAGTTATGTGGCTTGGAGCATCTATGGGGCAGTTGTGGGGCTCGGAGCATCTATGGGGCAGTTGTGGGGCTTGCAGCCATCTATGGGGCAGTTGCTTGTGGGGCAGTTGTGGGGCTGGAGGATCTGGAGTGAGTTGTGGGGCTGAGGGCCTATGGGGCAGTTGGGCATCTATGGGGCAGTTGTGGGGCTTGCAGCATCTATGGGGCAGTTGTGGGGCTTGCAGCATCTATGGGGCAGTCGTGGGACTTGGAGCATCTATGGGGCAGTTGCTTGTGTGGCAGTTGTGGGGCTGAGGGCCTATGCGGCAGTTGTGGGGCTCGGAGCATCTATGGGGCAGTTGTGGGGCTTGGAACATCTATGGGGCAGTTGTGGGGCTTGGAGCATCTATGGGGCAGTTGATTGTGTGGCAGTTGTGGGGCTGGGGGCTATGGGGCAGTTGTGGGGCTTGGAGCATCTATGGGGCAGTTGTGCAGCTCGGAGCATCTATGGGGCAGTTGATTGTGTGGCAGTTGTGGGGCTGGAGGATCTGGAGTGAGTTGTGGGGCTGAGGGCCTATGGGGCAGTTGTGGGGCTTGGAGCATCTATGGGGCAGTTGTGGGGCTCGGAGCATCTATGGGGCAGTTGCTTGTGGGGCAGTTGTGGGGCTGGAGGATCTGGAGTGAGTTGTGGGGCTGAGGGCCTATGGGGCAGTTGGGCATCTATGGGGCAGTTATGTGGCTTGGAGCATCTATGGGGCAGTTGTGGGGCTGGGGGTTATGGGGCAGTTGGGCATCTATGGGGCAGTTGTGGGGCTTGGAGCATC